GACAGGGGTGGGGCTTACCGCAGCAGCAGAAAATCAAGAGGGGGAGGGATCCAAAAAAACTAAACACCACCCATGACACAGCACACCAACAGCAAAGGAATCGTGAAGGGACACCACAACCAGGGGATTTGGGCTGCTGCTCGCTTCGACCACCAGCACCTGTTTAAGAAAATTAAGAAGAAAACAGTCACTAAAAGCGTAACATATGGTTACCACCTCAGCTGAGCCCTTGGATGTGAAGAAGTTTAACATGTTTGATCAAATTCTTAATGACCGATTGATCAATCGGAGAAATTGTTATCACAGAGACAAAAAACGGTGATAAAAGCAGAGTAATTATTGAGTTACTCTCATCAGATGGTCAGAAACAAGACTAAAACTGAATGATAATGTTGTTCCACGTCTGCTAGATGCACAACTGTTTAACACGCTCCACATAAAAAATGTCTAGAAATGTTTGTGGTTTTTTGTGGTTGTGCGACTCGTGGTTGTAGAGAGTGAAACGTTTAGCAGCTAGAGAGACAGATATTTTCCTCAGGAGTTGGTAGAGACCAAAAATACACCTGAAAGTGAATACTGAAGTTATATTAACATATGATTTACAATGTTCCACATCTGCTGATGCACAACTGTTAAACAGCTCCCCATTAAAACTTTATAAAGTGAGAATATGTCAGTGTTACGTTTAACAAATAAGTACCTTTCAAAAATGCAGCATAAAGACTACCTGTGACATCATGTTAGGAAAAACAGCTTAATTCTCCTGCTGCGGGAAGAAACCTCTTAAAAACGACCCAAATCATTAATTTAGCTTTAAATACTTAATGGTAAGTAAGGTGTACCTAATAAAGTGGCCGGTGAGTGTATATCTTTGAGCACAACTGTAATTTCTGTAATTGCAGTATGAAATACATGACTAAGGATAAACATATATGACACAGCACCATTCTCTGTATTGTTTGTTGTTGTTTGTCAAACGTCTTGTTTCCACATCACTTTGCTTTGACATTATTAAGCCCTGTATGTAGCCTCCCCTCCCTTTATTGAGCTTATTTCTGAGGCTAAATTGCCTAACAAATGATTTTACAGGCTACAGCAACAGACAATGAAACCAGCCACATGAGCGAGCCATTAATACACACATGTAACCACTTTATACTGGTTCAAACCCAGCAGGCTGAAGAAGCCACTCGCCACACTTTCTTCAGGTTCACAGTGTTTATTCTGACAAGAAGCACAATAATGTGGTTGGTGATGATGTACAGAGCCAGACACAGCTCTTGCCCCACAGTGGAAATCATCAGCAGCAAAAGGGGATTACAACTCTTTCACATGTGATCGTATAATATTGTTGGAAACACAAAATAAATGTATACTACAAATAAAAGCATAATACAATCATGCAGTCTGCTTCTTCATGTAGCATCTTACTTAGTCTTATAAACAGTCATGAATCCATTTTTTAGTTTTATTTGGGGGAAAAAAATCATTTCTATGCAAGGCGTTAACTAATAAACCAAAGTATTTCTCTTCACAGAAGGTAAAAACATAGCTGACAAGAAGCACAGTAATGTGGTTGGTGATGATGTACAGAGCCAGACACAGCTCCTGCCCCTACACATTAACAATAAAACGCACCAAATACAAAGCTGCCGCCGTTTAACATTACCTGTGCAGTACTCCACAAAACAACAGTGCGCGGGGTCAAGCAACCGACCGTTACCGCGGCTAACCGTTACACAAGCTAGCAAACTCATTTTCACTCGACCAAAACACAAAAACATAACAATGACGGTCACAAAACATAACAAGATAACTCATGACACTTAATATACACTTTGATTTGAGTGAAATGAGATTTACAGGGTAATATTTGAACGTACGTAGCTGTTACTACAGTGGAAATCAGCAGCAGCAAAAGGGGACGAGCTGACGTTTTCCGGTCCCTATAGTTAGCTACCACCACCGCCACGAGATGGCGCTCAAATAAAACACATAAAACACAAGCCTTGATAGATAAACATATGTGAACCCATTTCGCAATCACACAACAATGAAAATAAAAGACAGCAAGATCGCTTATCAACAACAAAACGTAAACAGTCTGGTAGTATGTTTATGTTTACTATTGGTGCTACAAACTAGCATGCTAACACCGAGCTAGCATGCTATCACCGAGCTAGCTTGACACAACGGCGGAGCGAGCGGCATCAAACCAAACTAATAGTGCTAATTTCCGGTTTGCTTTGTTAAAATACGGCACTACAGGTACTCACACAGTCTGTAGGCAGCGTGACGACTCGCGTTTCTTCAGTCAACTCCTTCCCCTTGGTCTGCAGGTCCCGGTGAGCCGCGGGACGTCTGTACTGTTCAACTAGTTCAAGCTGGAGCGGTGAACTTGCTAGTGATGTAACGTTCGTGAACGAGCAGAGTATTTGAACCGGCTCTTGAGTGAATGAGCCAGTTCCTGATTTCTTTGTTTTTTGCTTTAATTTACTCTGTATCCATTATATCCGGTTCAAAGACTCTGCTCGTTCACGAACGTCATATCACTAGTTAGAAACAAACGGTAGGAAGCTAACCCACTATCCGCTAGCACTTGCTTGTATTGACAGACTTGTTGTTTATAAAGGGCGTTGCTATGGCTACACCAAACTTTATATCTGCAGAGCCTATTCTGGGTCCACGTTACAATATCCAGATCACGTGATGCGATAAATCAGCAATGCGATTCGTCGTTGGACACACACACACACACACAGAGCAAAAAAAACAAACAAAAACACAAAAAAAAAACAATGAACGAACTGCATCTTTGAACCGGCTCTCACAAGTGAACGAGAAATCCCATCACTAGAACTTGCACGTGTGCATTACAACAGTTAAGTGTTTTTTTTCCGAACTTGTGCTCTGAGCGACCTGCCCCATAGAGAGAGAAGGGTTAAGGATTAATATATATTAATATAATAATTAACAATAAAATACTTAAAGTATACTTCACTTTCTGTATCGCTGTATTCCTGTGGAGGATTAACAACTCTTCACAGTGTTGTTCATATTAATGTCAGATGAATCAAATGTATTTTAGCTGATTTAACTTGGAGAGAAAAAGGTTCATGTTCCTTCATTAAAGTTATAGTTGGTAATCCTGCTCAGAAACACTTTTTGTTATACTGGGTAAAATGGTCCTTCCATCCTGAGAGGAGTCAATCCATAATGTGTTCCGAAAAAGGAATGAAAAAAATCAGACATCTGTGGCAGCTGCAGGCCTGTAAAAACTCTGACCAATCCCTGCCATTCGGTGCGAATGGAAAGAACCAATCAGATGCCTTCATGTCTCGTGTTAGGGTCGTTCGAGATGAACTGCGCCTTGCCTGGAAAGTAGACGAGAGCAGGCGGCCGCAGCGGGGGGCGGTGACAAAAAGCTGCAGTGAAGTCGGACAGTTTCCCGACAGTTTCCAGCAGCCTTCAGTCCATACAGGAAGTCACAGACACACTCACATCCTGTCTGGAATGATGTCAGTTCATTAAAAAAGTGATCAGACCCATGTATTAGTTTGTTTTCACCATCAGTCACACAACATGCTTTCTGTTCACAGAATAAACCTTCAGATCAGACAAATACAATCTTAATCTCTAAAATTCAACAAAAATGAGTAGTTTATCTAAAACGTCATATTGTTGAGTTGGCATCTGAACCAATGAGCTGTTAGATCAGGTGAGAGCCAGGCGGTGCAGTTGGTGGAGAGCGACTGCAGCGCCTGGCTCTAAAAACTGTGGCCGCCTCACTCTCGTGGCTTTATCGCGGTCCACTTTTATAATATGTCAGAGCAAGTCGGGATGAAGTCGGACAGAAAAACTAACCGGCATGCATTGTGCGCCGATCGCCGGTGATCGAATCTGCTCAGGACTGGCTCATCTCGAACGAACCTAATGCCTGAGCCCCCCTCCATCCCTCCCTCCCTCCTCCCTGCACACACTCATCACATCACCATTGCCTGAAATACTCAGCACACTCCTCAGCAGAAATACTGAGTTAGCAGGAGTTTGCTGAACAATGGCAGAGAAAATGCAGCCAAAAGTACCACTTCCAGTGTTACTTGTAACGGCTCACCCCACTAAACAGGCTGAGAAAACAAAGTCAGAGGCAGAAAAGGCTTTGGATAAAGCGAGAGGACAAACCAGACATCAACAGCAGTCCAGCTTTTGAACGGTGGAGACAACTGAGGGAGCTGAAGGGCCTGAAAAGTGATGCAGTGTGGAGCTTAGGAGGTGCCGCTTTCAAATCTTGCTAGCTCTCCAACATTACCAACTATAGTTTTAATACATATTTTAGGGTTTAATATATAAACTTGTCTAACTGCCAAAATTATGATGGTTGGGAAAATCACACACAGTTGTATCAGAAATCAAATATTCTTGCACACTCCTACAGCTGAGGCAGCAATTATCATTTATGATATAAATATTGAAATATGCTTAAAATGTCCCTCGATAAATATTAATAATTATGGTAGTGTTATCATAACCCCACATTACAGGGCATATAGAGCAAAGATTTTAACATGCCATTCTCCATCCATCCACCAGAGGTCCTCAGACTTTCCCACCTGTCACCTGACTCCTACATCCACCTGCTCAGCTGTTCTTCATTTCCCAATTACCCCTCACAGTATTTATACCAGTTTCCAGTGGCTTTTGTGCAACTAAACACGGGTGTGTTTTGGCGACCTGTCACCACAATTTTAGCAGCTTTTGTGCCACAGAACCTGGGTATTTTACGCCTAAACATAACCTTTTCATAACCATAACCAAGTGGTGTTTGCGCCTAAACATAACCATGTGAAGCACATTGTTAGAAATACTGCATAATGTACACTGCCAACATTTTCTCTGGGGATTGGATTTACATTCTGTTATATATCAAAAGTTGTGTTAGCTGAGGAACAAAAAGCCTGAAGTTGTTGTTTGAATGTGACTGTGTTTTGTTGGTTCCTCAGGGCTGATTACTGGGAACTATGGTGAAATATGGAGGGGACACAGATGGATGAAAACCCTAAACATTTTGGGACAAGATGCACAATGGAAATGATTCAAGAGGAGTCTGCCTCTGCTGCAGAATCAGTAAATACAATATTGGATGAAAATAACTCATAAGTGGAAATGTTTTTCTCTGCGTTTGTAACTTTTAAATTGATCTTTATGCTGCAATTTTGAAAGGTACTTATTTGTTGAACGTAACATTGACATATTCTCACTTTATAAAGTTTTAATGGGGAGCTGTTTAACAGTTGTGCATCAGCAGATGTGGAACATTATAAATCGTATGTTAGTGTAATTTCAATATTGACTTTCAGGTGTGTTTTTTGGTCTCTACCAACTCCTGAGGAAAATATCTGTCTCTCTAGCTGCTAAATATTCCTCTCTCTACGACCGCTCGTCACTGACTATTCTGTTCGGTGCCGAGCAGGTAGTGCATAAAAAAATGCATGAAGTACATTTTGCATATGATACATACATTTACTTAAAGTTTTGAATGCAGGACATTTCGTGGAGTATTTCCACAGTGTGTCTACCTGGCTTCACACAGTGCTGATTTTTACCTCAGCAGCACTCGTCACCGTTAATCTTGGCTGGTAGATGAGTCATATATAGAGACAGGCGTGCAGCACAGGGTGAACCAGATTGAGTCAGCCTGCATTTACAGGGTGGCAGTAACGGTTATGACCTAATTACACACGCTGCACGCTGCATACACAAAACATACACTAAAGAAAGTCATGTTTTCATGGAGGAACAATGTAGATTTTATACACACGCCCAAACACCACCCACTTCTAATACACAGCTTTTTTATAAATTTGATCTTTGCCTTGGGATGAACCCAGTCTTAAGACATTATTTAGGAAAGCACAAATAATGTAATGGAAACACATATTTTATCTGAAGTTGGTTGTTATTATTTCGGGAAAAAAATACATGTTTGTTTCTTCAGACTGATTAATTTCATTGTGACTGGCTACAAGATAAAAATACCCTATGTGTTTACAACACAGGACTTTAATTTCACTGTCTATCTTCTTCTCTTACTATATAATGATGAAAACTCTGTCTGTGTGTCTGTTCCACGTTTTTCTCCTCACTGACTTGGTCAATCCATGTGAAATTTGGCACAGTGGTAGAGGGTCATGGGAGGATGCCAATGAAGCAATATTACATCAATTGGCCAAAGGGGGGCGCTATAGCAACCCATTGAAATGTCAAACTTTGAATGGGCATATCTCATGCCCCGTATGTGGTAGAGACATGAAACTTTGCACAGAGATGCCTCTCCTCATGAGGAACACATTTGCCTCAAGAACCCATAACTTCCGCTTATATAGATTTTCCGCCATTTTGAATTTTTTGAAAAACACTTCAAATGGATCTCTTCCTAGGAAGTTTGAGCGATCTGCATGAAACTGGGTGAACATAATCTAGGGACCAATATCTAAAGTTCCCTCTTGGCAAAAGTTGGAAAACTTACTAAAACTGAGCTTCTATAAGGCAATGAATATTGCGGAGGGCGTGGCTCATCACATAAAGGTGTATAACATCTCAAGGGTTTCACCCATCACCACGCAACTTTGTAGGCATATGACCACACATAATCTGAGGGGACCCCTCCATTATTGACCCCATCAAACAAAATGGGGGCGCTAGAGAGCTCATTTCTTATCTAGGCCTAACCACCATATGGATTTTTACTAAACTTGGTAGATATGTAGAACAGGACGCCTCAAGGTGACTGGAGAAATTTAACTCTAATTGGCAACTGGGTGGCGCTATAACAACAGAAAAATGCTTCAAAATGGCTAAAATGCGACTGATCGCTGTGGCTCCCCCTGTGGACCAATCATAGACCGCGGAACCGGGGGGGCTAGGGGGCCATGGCCCGGGTGACTTTTGCACTCTGACATAGAGGGCTGCATTGGGATTGGGTCCTGCCAGGTCCCACAGGTCCCCATTAAACAGTAGAAGAAGAAGAAAAAATCGAAGAAGAAGAAGAAGAAAAGATCGTCTGACCCAGCTATGTGCCATAGCTGGGTCAGACGATCAGAAAAGTCAGATAGAAAAGAGGGGTTTTGCTTTGGGGGGCCAGAGAGTTTGAAGGAGATGTGTACAAATGAATGGGGATGGTGGTTACTTTAATGTCCTTTCTATAAACAGCGTCAACACCACCGCTCGGCCCCGACAACAGATTTGATGGGAGAAACTCTGACCCATGCTTACGAACATTTTGGAGACGGTAAATTGGTGACGCAGACGGGGAGGTGGAAGCCTGATTATGGAAATTGTCTCATATTTTTTGCCATTTTTGGCTTTTGTCCATGGGTAGATTTTTAGTTTGGATCCTATGAATTGTTTTATAAATGAGACCCCAGGTGAGGCAGCTGGATTCCTTTCAAACCTCCACAAGTTACACATCAAAATGAGGAAGGTAGACATCTCTACGGCCAATGTCTCCACCATTCGGCAACTCACACCAAAACTATCTAGACTGATAAATAGCACTGCAGGTAAGGGGTAAAATATGTATTTTTGATTTGGGGATGCTATAGTCTTTCAAATAATCCAAAATTGACTGTTAATTGTGGCTTTTCGCAGACATGGTTGTAAACTATAAGAGAAACTTCTCTGGTGCATGGAGGCGTACAACTGCGGGGGGTCAATTCTAGTTTTTCATATATTTCGTTCTCTTCATTGCAAAATATCATGCATGTTCAGTTTTATTGTGCCGTCCTGAAGGTGTTGTCCGTCCATCAGCCTGATTCCATGTAAACGCAGCACTAGGCTTATATCTACTGATGTATTATCACGCCGAATCATCTACGTCATCACGCTGATTTGAATAAATTCTCCGGAACTTTGAAGTGCAGTGGAAACACAAAAACACACAGATTACCAGGAATTTTTTTTACCCAGGTAAATAAATCCCTGGTAATAAAATTTCCTGGAAATGTTGGTTGGAAAAGGGGCTAATCCTTTTTATTGGTGGTTAAACAGGGAGAGTTTCAACTTTTCGTTTAAGAGCTCCAAGGATTACTGTTGCAACAACACATCATCAGTCGGGTAAAACGAACCTGTCCCAAGGCGGTCTAATCCCAGCTCACGCTCCCTGTTCGTGGGTGAAACCAATCGCTTGGTGAATTCTGCTTCACAATGAATGGAGGAGCCGATATCGAAGGATCGGAAGGCAACATCGCTAGGAATGCAGTTATCCCTGTGGTATCTTTTCTGATACCTCCTGCTTGAAACCCCAAAAGTCAGAAAGAAAGTCAGATCTTGAGGTCCCGCTTTCACGGTCTGTATTCATACTCGATATCAAGATCAAACAAGCTTTTGCCCCTATTTTCTGTCCTCCCTGAGCTCACCATAGACAGGCATACCGCACCAGTCAAACTCCCACCTGCCTCTGTCCCCAGAGTGGGTTAGATTAACATTGTGTATGGGAAAATGAATGGGACTTCTACATCTAGATCCAGAGGACATAGCTGAAATAGCTCCGTATTTTGTCATCAGATGTGGAGGACATTTTGCAGTGTTTATTTTCAGCTTGTACCTCCCAAAAACGAAACAAAAAATCAATCACTGCAGCTTTAATTCTTGTGTTTTTGTCTTTCTGTATGAATCCATCCATCATATTATTCCTCCCATCTCTGCGCTCTTCTTCTTTCTCTTTGGTGTGTCTCAGTCAGACAGAATGAGTCCTCGGGGACAGTTTGAGGTTCACTTCAGGTCGCTCTTTCAGACAGCGACCACTTACTCACGAGACTCAGCGGTTTGCCAAAACTGCTCCACTAGGTTGTTTCATGCATGATGCCGCCACCAGGGATACAAGCTGATGGGTTATGACATCCCTGCAGCACACACACACACACACACACACACACATACACACTTCCAGGCATTCAGGCATATAGAGCGAACAAGCAGCATCTGGACAGTTTCTCTGAAGGACTTCATACCCGGGGTTATTAATGACATTACTGAACAGAGAGATGTGTATGTATGCATGCAGAGCAGGCAGGAAGTCACATTGCCCGCGCACACGCACACACACTCAGACACACTCAGACACAATCTGCACGTCATTGACCTTAAACTCTCAGCATGCGTGGTCATGAATTTGGCATTTATCCGTCATTTGTCATTAACTATGCCTCCCTGTCTCTCTGTGGTTTCCTCTCCCGTTGGTCTCTCATTCCTCTGGTTTCTCCTCATCCATCCCTAAAAATTTGTCTTCTGTCTAACAGCTCTAGCATCACTGCCAAACTATTTGCTGATTTTTTCCCTTGCTAATCTGAAGCATGAAATGTTCCTGTGTGACTGAAAAGGTTTTTAAAATGAATAAACCATTTACAAACAGGCATTTCTACATGATTTTCAGCCTTGCTAGCAGCAGTCAGTCAGTCGGTCCACCACTTTATTCCACACTGAAATATCTTGACAACTAGCGCCACCATGAGGACAGCATTTGTGGGTCAGAGAGAAATGTCTCAATAATTATGTGATGGACTGCCATGAAGTCTGCTGCAGATATTAAAGTAACCAAGAGGATGAATTCTGCTCATGTTAATGATGCTCAGACTTTTCCTCTGATGCAACCAGTAACCGGTAGTAACAGAAGCCTTTTTTGATTTTGTCAGGTCTAAGGTCATAAAATCTGTGACTGGAGTCTGACTCGAGTTCAAGTCATGTCAACTCGGGCTCACTCCGAAGTCGTTGAAAACTGCTGGTAGGTCAGTGACTTCTGGTGTCAGACACAGACGAAAAAACCTTCCTTTTACGTCAGCATGATACACACCCAGTTGCTGCTATTGTTTAACGGCACCCAGCAGTGTCAGGGGGAACTGCAGCGAGACAGCAACAAAAGTTAAGGCAGCAAAAATCTGCAACTCATCCTCACTGTGACCTCGTCACATGTCCACGTTTGGTCATGGACTTTCCACTTTCCACGTCCACATATGACGTCCAAGGTATCCTGGGTGTGTTGGTCGTTGACGTTCTGGGACGCCGTGTCAACTTCAGCCTGTTACATGCATTGTCTGTTTCCAAAATACACTTCTGTTTTCACAGGAAATGTACACTTTGCATACAGTCTCTTTCAAAATAAAAGCACTACGTTGGTATAACACCACAAATTGACGTTTTCTTTT